AGAACAGAACTCAGGTGTATAGAACTATATTCACATACTTGACACCCACCAATGTCTTAGTCAACTAGCGCCTGGGTAATAGGGGGGCTCAGGAAATATTTGAGGAATTGAGGATGAACACAAGCGAATGACAAAGGATTTGAATCTGGAAGTAAAGTGATTTTCTGAGACTTTCCACCAAGTCATGTATTCAACAGCTATTCATTTCACGGCTATATTTTCCTTGATTCTCATTGATTATTAAATTAGAGATTTATTCTCCACTACCTTTGTCATATTTCACAGACCTCAGCCTGGAGGTAGAGGGGAATAATGGACGGGACAACGAACGAGCTCTCCAGCCTCACTCACATCAAACGCCTTCCCTCCTGGGGCTTTGCATTTGCTGTTTTCTTTCTCACGCTATTCCTTCCTTGGGTTCCTCCATTCAAACATCACGTCCTCACGGAGGCCTTCCCCGACCATTCAATCGTAGTTGCGTCAGGCTTTCAACACATCCAGTTTCACTTCACTTCCTTCACAGGATTTACCACTCTCCGAAATCACCTCTTTAATTGTCTATTCACCCTACCCCCAATCATAGGAGGGCAGAGGCCTGGTCTAGCTGGTTCTCTGGATGTATCCCCAGTGCCCCAGACTAAGCAAATACGTATGTAACCAACGAATGATAAGAGAACACTCCAGATTCTCCTCTGTTCTCTCAAGCCCTCAATACCCTTAGGCTTTCCACTCCGGGTGGCTCCACACTCCATTTTCAACAACAACACCATTTTTGCATTACTCTGAGGTTCGGAAAGTAGCCTGGACTCCATTTTCCGAGTTGAGCCCCTCAAACGATCTGAGAAAGGAGGTCCGGCCTGGCAAGAACGCCCATCCTCCCATTACACAGTCGATGAAATTGAGCCGCATACGGGCAGGAGCTCTAAGGTGTCCAGATTCCAAAAAGCCCTTCACACGAGCCAGCGCCCTGGGTTCAGGATGCTTCAACACCTTTATTACTATTGTTCCACAGCACTCATTCTGGACGCGTTCCACGCGGAGGACGCGCCCGGGCCCTAGCCGCGCGCCTCACGCTCACCCGGCTGAGCCCCCGCCCCGCCCCCGGCGCCCTGGCCCCACGTCACGCCCCGGCTTCTGCTCCCACCCCGCCAGGGCTCCCGCGACGCGCGGGGACCGCCCCCTGCCGACAGAACCAGTCAGCAAAGCCTCGGGGGGCGGCGCCGCGGGGGGGCCCCGGCCCTCCTCTCTGGGCGCCAACTGGCCCGCCCAGCTGTCGCTCACAAGCTCGCGCCCGCACCCGCCTTCCTCCCTTTCCTCCACCCTCCCCTTCAGGAAAAAACGGCGGTTGGGCCGCGGCGGTCGCCAAAGGCGGGCGGGAAGCGGAGGGTAGAGGAGCCGGGGAGCGAGAGAAGGAGGGACTGCAGAAAGGAGGAGGCGATAGAGGAGGAGGAGGGGAGCGGGGCCCAGCAGGAGCCATCTCCGCCGAGAACAAAATGGCGGCGTTGGCGGAGGGCCAACTGTGAGGCGGGGCCGCGGCCGTCCCCCTCCGCCCCCACCCTCGTGCCGGCCGGGCCGGACAGGGGTAGCCCGCTCGCTCCGCCGGCCGCGGGCGGGGAGGGGAGGGGAGCGGCCCGGCCCACTATGCAAAGCGGTTGGCGCCGGCGCCGCCGCCCCGTGGCAAAGGTAAAAGGGTCGGGTTCAGCCGCCGCCGCGGCGCCTCCATGTCCGCGCGCCAGGACCGCCCCCTCCGCCGCCGGCCCGAGCCCGCCCCGGCCTTTATTCAATTTTACCTCAGGATTTGGCGCCAAAGCGACCTCGAAGCAGGTCCCGTGTCTGCGGCGGGCGGCCCCCGGCGCGGAGGGCAGGGCGCGGGGAGGCCGGCTTCCCGGCGTCGGCGGATGGCGGGAGCCCCGGGCCGCGGGCTCGCAGGTCAGCGGGAGAGAGACGAGACGCCCAGGTGGGAGCGGGGCGGCGAGGGCGGGCCCGGAGGCACCGCCGGGGTCGCGGGGAAGGAGGGGTTTGTTATTGTTTTTGTCAGTGAAAGGTCAGAGTTCGTGACCCCGGTGCCGCCGCCGCCGCCGCCCGCGCGCTGGTAGGAGGAGGGCGAATGTTCTTCTTCCTCTTCCCAGAGCCAGCCTCGCCGCGGCCGCGGGGGGCGGGCGAGCACGCGATTGGCTGAGGCGCGCGCGCGCAACGGAACGCGGCGGTCGCGCTGCTCCGTCCGGCCCCTTGGCGGCCCGGCCCCGGCGGCGGCGGCGGGCGCAGGGCGCAGCGTTTCGCGCAGTTCACCTGGGTGTCTGACCCGACTGGGTCCGCACCGCTTTAGGGCCACCATGTAGGTTAAATGCCGAGGTCGTCGGGGTAAGGGGTTGGTTGGTCGTTTTCGAAGGCCAGGAACGCCGGGTACCGTTATTCGGGGGCCAGTCCGCCCCTCCCGGGGGCCCGCGAGCTCCTCGAGGCCGGGTAGGGGCTGTGTTCTCGCTGTGACGTCCTCCACCCCGGCCCCCGCCGAGCTGAAACCTCTGTGTTGAGTGAGGAAGCAATGACAGAGCGGAGAGCCTGTAGGTCGGAAGCGGGTGGTTTGTTGGGTGGGTATTGAACTGTTTGTGCCCTCGGTATAGATGGTCCGAGGAGGCACCAGTTTCTGAGTATCAGGTCAAGTGCGTAAAGAGTATCGCGATTTGAAACGAGTAAACCATGCTTAAATGTGTATTAAAAAACTCTTTGCAGGGCCTCCCTGGTGGCGCAGTGGTTGGGAGTCCGCCTGCCGATGCAGGGGATACGGGTTCGTGCCCCGGTCCGGGAGGATCCCACATGCCGCGGAGCGGCTGGGCCCGTGGGCCATGGGCGCTGAGCTTGCGCGTCCGGCAACGGGAGAGGCCACGACGGTGAGAGGCCCACATATCGCAAAAAAAAAAAACAAAAACAAAAACAAAACTCTTTGCAGAATTGCTTAAATTATACAAATACAGTTGCTTCTCGTGAGCCTGTGAATCTTAGGTTGTAGGTTTTCATTAGCTACTTCTCTCTTTGAAATGGTTTTGACTTGCTTTGTAGGGTGTGGACCACTGTGTTATCAGGGATGCCCTGAAGTGCTTAGGCCAGACTCCTTGATCACCATGCTTTCTCTGTAGGCCGAAGATCCTCTGCTAATTGATTTGTTTCCTGCACTTTTCATCTTTATTATGAATACTGACTCCAAGGTGGATCGTTTAAGCTTTTTTCTTAAACAGTGGCCATTTGGGCTTTTATCAGTATGACCCCAAATTTGAGTATTTTGTCCATAATCTTGTAAAATTTTTATTTGATAGGAAATGCTTTAAACACACCCATTTTCCTTCCTTGTTTTCACCTTCCAAGGAAGTAAGTGGAGAAAAGACTTAAATTTATAATGTCGTGGTGAACCACAGATCCTGAAGCTGGAAGGGGTCTCAGAGATGATATGGTTAAATCCTCTTCTGGCAGAACGATTTTACAGGAGAGGCAGATGAGACCAGAGAGGTCAAATGATATGCCTAAGGGAACACAGTGCTTTGATGGTAAATCCTTGTAAACATGAACTGCTTTGTAATTGTGTACTTTTTTCCCCCCAAAATTGTTTTTAATGTTATATAATACTTATAGATATAGCTTTAAAATATACACTTAAATGAGTTTTAAGGGTTTTTTGGGGCAAATTATAATTGTACTAGATTTTTAAATGAATACTAAAAATAGTTAATGTTTCTATGATGGCTTATAGTTTTCTTAATTTTCTCCATTTAATACTCAGCAATTCTGGAGCAAGGCACTGTTATTTCATTTTACTAAGGTGCAGGAACTGACACCCAGATAAGTTAAGTAACCCTCCCAGTGCTACAGGTGCAGAAAGTGAAGCCAGGGCTCTAATCTAGTCCTTTTCACCTTAAGGTTTGTAAACCATGCTGCATCAGTTTGCTTTGTTTGCAGTAGTATTCAGTAAAATTTCCAGTTAAAACAGGGGTCCTCAACCCCTGGGCCATGGACCAGTAGCGGTCCGTGGCCTGTTAGGAACCGGGCGCACAGCAGGAGGTGAGTGGTGGGTGAGCAAGCGAAGCTTTGTCGCTCACGTTACCGCCTGAACCACCCCACACCCCTCCTTCTGTGGAAAAATTGTCTTCCATGAAACCGGTCCCTGGTGCCAAAAAGGTTGCGGACCACTGGGTTAAAAGGTTAGTTGTTCAATATTAAAAGTAATAGCAAAGTTCACAATCTTGATGGGCTTGAGCTCTTTTTGTCCCCTGAAGGACAGAAGCACACGTATATACACACACAGATTGCAAACAGTATCAGCAGGTAAAAGGCTTTTGCAAGCTGAGGGCACCACTGCCATAGTGCTATTTTGTGTTCCATTGTGTTTTTGGTAGAAGCTTTTAGTGAGAACTCTTAAATGGCTTTGTAACACTTGATGGACTTTATAATCACAAAAATATTATACATTTTGTGTTATACTAGCTATACTTTTTGACTGTTAATATGATGTATCCACATTTGCATTAACAGTGCTTTTAACGTTTTATCAGCCTTTAAAATAAAGTGTTCTTAATTGCAGAGTGTACTTCAGAACTGCCGGGGCCCCCGTTGGGTCTGAAACTGCAAGCTTTGGGTGGGGCCTGGCATCAGCACTTGTACTGAGCATCACAGGTCATTCTGATGCACACTACAGGCCCAGATCACTGATCTAATTCCAAAAATGTGTGTCAGAAAAAAGAGACAAAACTTTTTGTTTAACCTTTTAAGAGAATCTTTTTTAATTCCTTAACTATGCCTGAAGAGTACTCATTGACAGGGCCAGTGGCTCAGTGGGAATGATATATCCAGCAGTACCCAGCCCTTGTGTGTGCATCGCCTCATCACCTACCCATACTGAGCCTTGTATCGAAATGTGCCTTGTCCTGCTCTATCTCAGCCCTTAACACAGTACCTAGTACAGAAGTACAGAATGGGCATGAAGTGGGCATTTCCTTTTTTTTTTTTTCGGCCGCACTGTGCAACACGTGGGATCTTAGTTCCCCAACCAGGGATCAAACCCGCACCCCCTGTGTTGGAAGGTGGAGTCTTAACCACTGCACCACCAGGGAAGTCCTGCAGTGGGCATTTATTGAATGAATGCTTTTCACAGCAACAGTGTATGGTAAACAGTGTTCATATCATCATCCCATTTTTACAGATGAACTCTGTAAAGGTTTTGGTGACTTCTTGGAGCTGAGATACGAGCCTGGGGCTTCTAGCTCCCTACACAGTACTTGTGAATGAGATCCAGGTGTTCCCTCCTCTGGTCCTCGGGCAGGTCTTTTTTCCCACAACACTTAAGCAGTCTGTTCTGCAGTCATTAACTGAGAGAAGGAACTAGATCATGCGGTTTCATTTTGTACCTAACAGAGTAAATGTTTTTTGCCATCCAAGCTTATTTTGAATTTGCATTTAAATGATAAATGCTGAGTCAATGAAAATCAAGTTTTGACTAAATAGTTGTAGATGTGCTAAATTTTTAAAATTACTATTATCTAGTAGAGTTTTTTTTACTATTATCTAGTAGAGTTTTTTTTACCTGTAAGGGTATGGCTTTTGTGATAGCGTAAGTAATGTTTTTTTTATTTTCACAGACTAGGAAGACAATAATTACCTTTTTAAGTACTTACGTACATCTATGTGTCAATTTTTCTATAATAGCTTATGCTTTTTTACTATATACAGTAATCAATTTCTGAAACTTCTGTTTCTCATTTGTATAATTGACATGTTTATAAAATAAACTTTTAAACCTCACGTAATTGTTGCTAGCCTTTTTTTTTAATGAATTTGGTATCTGAAGAGACGACCAGATTGCACATTCCTTACACTTACACATTATCCTGTTTAATCTTCATAATAACCCTGTGAAGTAGATGGTGTTATCTTTTTTTTCTCTTTTTTACAACTGAAGAGGCAGAGGCCTTTAACAGAGGAAGAATAACTTCTCCAAAGTCGCGTGGCTAGCAAGTGGTGGAACGTTTATTAATAGTTATTTCTGCTTATTTCTTCTCTTTTGTCCTTGAGGATTTCGAAAGGAAGAAAACCCTCTTCTGCCCACCTCTGATTCTGTCACAGTAGAAGGTTACTTGCGGAGGTCTCAACCTCTGTATCAATGGCCCTTGTTCTTCCCAGGAAGAGAAGGACCGACCCTGCGGTGGATGGATGGTTCTGGAACACAGGAACACTGCAGGAGTGAGTCCTGAGCCCCTCCAGAATGGCTTTTATTGAGAGTTATGACCATTTGGTTTCTGACCTGGGGCTTCCCATGCCTTAATAAGTTGTACTTGGCTCAGGTATCTTGGAAACATGATGGAAAATCAGATTATCAGAAAAATGCACCTGCCCTTAGTCCCGTTTTAGAATATGCTCAGGAGAATGTCTTGTTTTTAAATGTCGTCTAATTGGGACTCTCAGTGTTTAGGCTGTGGCCTCTCCCGTTGCGGGTGCTCCGGACGCGCAGGCTCAGCAGCCATGGCTCACGGGCCCAGACGCTCCGCGGCATGGGGGATCTTCCCGGACCGGGGCACGAACCCGTGTCCCCTGCATCGGCAGGCAGACTCTCAACCACTGCGCCACCAGGGAAGCCCAGGTCTGGAGTTCTTTACTAACCCAGCACCACCTCAAGAGCTAACCCACTTGGGACTACCAGCCTTTCACTGATGAAGTCTAGAAGTTAAACAGTAGCATTCCTTGAGTTTCTTAAAGAAATTATTTCCACCCCACAGCCTGTTCACTGCAGGCCAGGGAATGCACCTCAAAGCAGAAGTTCCTTGGAAAAGCCTCTCCCTTAAGTGCTTTGCTTTGGATCCTGCCCTTTCCCTTGGGGAGAGATAGGACGCTGCCTGAGGCTTCTGGCTTTCAGGAGACTCTGGGTACACTGTTAAGACTGAGGGTCTAAACAACAAATCCCCTTGGTTTTACCCTCAGGTTTGGCCCCTCCTCTACTGGTCTCTAGTTTAGGTCTTATCTTCATCTCTATGCCGCTGTGTAGTTTTCTAGCCTTCCTAACCAGTCTAACTAGCTGCCTTCCTCATTCATTCATCCTTCCTTGCTCCCTTTGTGCTGCTGCTGAAACAGAG